ATTTACTGATGCCACTCCAAAATTAGAATATCATCACGGAACCACCATTAAATTAGCTGCTTCCTACATTTTAAATGCTATTGCAGTTGTACTATCAGCAAAAATGTGCGCATCAGAACCGCAGCATGCAGGACTTCCTTGTTTTCTTCTGGGTCTGTGGCTCAGTCCCGCCCCCGTCCTTTTTTTGTCCAATGGGAGCAATGATCGTCACACTCGTGGCTTTGTTTAYAAGTTATAGTTCATTTGCAAAAAAGCACAATGTGAATGCAAACCGCACCAAAAGAAAAAAAAAATCCATTTTTGGTCCGGACCAAACAATTGGACCAAAGGACTTTCCTGGTCTGAATACACCCTAAAAGGAGGCATCCAGGAGTCATCTTAATCAGATGCCCGAACCACTTTAACTGATGTGTTTTTGATGTGGACCCACCTGTAGGGAGGATCGTCAAGGTCGGGTGCGTTGCTTGCTGGGCAGCAGGCGAGGGAGGGTCCCTGGTTRAATTTAAGAATCCAAAACTCCTGACTCAGGTAAAAKTCACAATAATACAGATTCTATCAGCTTTTCTCATCTAACAAGGTATGTTTTAGCTTTGTGTTCTCATGAGATTGTATTTAGAGCTTTCCATCCTGTCTCTTCTAGGCTGAACTCCATCRCCATCAATAAGAATTTTATTTTGGAAATATCGTATTTTCTTTACCATGACCCAAATCCAAAGTGAAACAGTTTGGGACAACTGATGAGAGACGGACCAGTAAACTGAGAGTTTTGCCTTTTGCTTCAGATTCGTGTTTGTCACGATGAACCAGTGCAGACGAGGCTCACTTAAGCCTATCGTCAGTTCTGAACAAGACACCAYGACAAACTCCTTTACTTCAAGCAGCGACTCATCTCCATCCCAGACGGAGCATTTCAGCTGCAAACAGCCCCACTCTGCATTAAATGCCACGGCTTGAAAACACCACCAGAATCACATCATCTGCATAAAGTAAAGATCCGGCCTCTGAGGTTCAGAAACTGGACACACGCCTTGAGATCCCGTTCATAAACACCACAAATAAGACAGGAAACAAGGGGCGGTCCTGATGGATGATCGTCTTTCTTTGTTGTTGTTGAACTAATGAATGTTGTTTAATACATTTTGATGTGAAGCAGAACCTAAAAATTCTAGAAAACGCATACACACCCATAYAAATTTGTCGTCACCTTCATGGGATTTCTCTGCGTCCGTCCAGACAAGATTGTTGTTGTTGGTGTGACTGAGGAGTATAGGATGTCTTGACTGGAATAGAAACCTAATGKTTCACAATGATGACTCCATCAGAGCTGTTTACCACCTATTCAGCTCAGTCGAGGCAGCATTAAAGTTGCATTGCAGCGAGGAASAGCTCAAATGCCATCAAGCACCGGTTGACTGGTTGATAAAAATAGGTGTTCTGAGCGTCGCAGGTGCTTTTTTTAGAAGCCAATTTTTTTGTAAGTCTGTCGATATTAACAGCTGTGATCAAATATTAACATCTAAATGTCCTAAATRCTGCAGTAAATTATTTGAAAAAAAAAAGATAAAACTTGTGCATGTTTTTGTGTGTAGCAAGCCAAACAAGCCAGGCTGTTGTACAAGGGGATAAAAGCAAGGCTCGCAGCAGGGGGACTTGTAAATCCACTGAAACAGTGCAGAATGAAGCCAAATCATTATGTCAAAAAGCAAGTTGTTGCTCTAGACCAGAGGGACACACAACCCCACGCACACACATGCGCAAAGGCAGGCCTGATGAGAAACAAACATTTGTAGCACATCAAAGCCTCGTGGAAAGACGGACATCACAAGAGTCAATGCTTTTAGCCACTGTGGCGAGACACAAACGCAGTGAACAAGTAGATTAAAAAAAGGGCCCAAAGTCAGCTATTGATCATTACTCTGCTGGATATTTTCTGTTTATAGCAAGGCAGGTCTTTGATTTGACTAATAATAGAGACCAAATTTCAAGCAAAAGAAGCGTATTTAGTCACGATTCAGTCCACGGATCCTCTCCAACTGAGCGCCGACACTTTAATAAGGAGAAAAGGGAAAGAAAAAATCAAATTAAAACGGTTCCTTTATTTGATGAGGCAGRTTTTTTTTCATCTTCTCTTTTTTTCTTTCTTTTTTTTTCTAGCATATGGGTGCACAATTGGGTCAGCAGATAAGCAAACCCCTATAGATTGCGGACAGATGCAATTCATCTCTGGCTGTGATTTTGTCCCCCCCCCCCCCCCATCCCGTCTCACTGTCAGGCATGCAGGGATCTGACAGGGACCTGTGGACAAACAGCCACGCCTTCAGGATGCAGACGGTTGCTGAGAAGGGTGACCGAATGGCAGCATGGCTGATGYGAATGTGCGCTGGAACAGAACAATGAGGCACGTCACCAAAACCCTTGTTTTTTGGCTTCATTGTTCACATAGATGAACACCGCTGAGCAAAACTAATCAATACGATAAACCATCCGGAGCTGTGGCACAGCTGCACATTTATGTCTGGGTGATAATTTCTGATTGCATCACATAAAAAAAAAATACACAGGGACACTGTAAACCGCGTACAGGTCAGCAGTTCAACAGCAGTGATGAGCCAGGTGTTTGCGTTCTGGCCCCCCGCCTGGAAATGGCATTAGATCAGCAGGTCAGGTACGCAGGGTGGAGGGAGGGGACTGGGGGGATATATGGGGCTCTGCTGGACAGACGGAGTGGGATTTTCATSGCAGGCATTAATCCTGATGGCACGACCGTATAGCTTTTCATCTRGTAGCAAAATCATTCCAGTGGGAGATCTGAATGATGACAAATGGCTTTGTGTGGAGAGATGGCCACGTGTTTTATTAACCAATCAGCTTTTACTGCTCTTAGGGGGCAAAGGACAACTCCACAGTCTGTGTTCAAGCTCATTATCTTGTCATCACTAAATGTTCTTTATTGATTATCTTTTTCAGTTATAAAGGTGAAGCAAAGTGTTTTACTTTTTTGCCTTTTTTTTTGTCAATTGCTGCATCTTTAGATTGAAATAAAAAATATGCAATCCAGTTTATTTATGTGGTGCCAAGCCACAAAACATTGCATCTCAAAGCACTGTACAAAAACAATAAATCTAAAGAGGTCAGCAGATTGTGTTGAATCTTTACTTCATCACAGTCTCCCATCCTGAGCAACACATTGGCGACAGTGGAAAGAAAGAACTCCTTTTTTTAACAAGAAGAAACCTCCATCAGAACCAGAACCAGGCTCAGGACAGGTGGCCATCTGCCTCGACCAGCTGGGTTTTGGGGGGATAGGAAAGAGAGAAACACWGAAGGACTGGTCCAGGTGTATTTTCCTCTAGAGGAGAGACAAAGAAAACACTTTATAGATAGAAATAATTACAACAAACATAAAGGAAAGGGACTAAAGACAKCAGCAGAGTGGGAAAATKTGTTCAGTTTGTCCTCCAACAGTCTAAGCCTATAGCAGCATAACTAAAGAATAACTCGGGAAACAAAAGCCTAATAGCCTTTATCAAAAAGGAAAGTCTTCAGTCTTTTATGTAAACAGTGTCAACCACTTATACTCCTGGTTCAAGAATCAAAAAGAAAGAGAAACCCCCAAACAAACAATGTTAGAGCCACAGTTTTATTTTATTTTATTTTATTTTATTTTATTTTATTTTATTTTATTTTATTTTAATGTGTCATGCTAAAGGCAAAAACCGGACGAAGTCATTTGACACCCTGGTTTAAAAAAAAGCCCCCAGTAGCATCTGGAAATGTCTGGAAACGTTTAAATTGTAAAACAGTCTGAAATTATACAGTGCTTTAAGCCCAGTCGGACCCCAAAGCGCTTTAAGCTAGGTTTATAGCTGAAGCGTCGTGCCGGGTGCGAAGGTGCATGCACCAAAAGTGATGCAATTGCACCGTCCCTGCCCCTGTGTGTGTTTGTGCACCTGCAAATTTTTGTAGGCACATCGTGCGCCATTCAAATAGTTTGTTTGTCTGTCAAGCTTTTGTTCTCCTACTTACAGCATTTTCACAATTTACAAAGTGTACTTCCACGTGTCATTTTAGAGAAATACACTACGTAAACGCCAATTATAAACACCTCCACTGCTGGTGAGGGTGCAAAAGCATGAACCTTTACACTTACAGCCATTCATACACATTCGCACAATGATGATGGTAAGCTACATTGTAGCCACAGCTGCACTGGGGCACACTGACGGCTGCCAGGCACTGGCGCCCTGACCCTCTGACTATCATAAGTAGGCAAGGTGGGCGTGTCTTGCCCAAGGACACAACGACTGAGACGGCTGGAATGGGCRATCAAACCGTCAACCCTCTGGTTACAGAACGACTCCCCTAACCACTCCGCCACAGCTGCAGAAACCACACCGTTTTTACCCACCGATGAAACAAAGACTGTTAAGGTACAGATTCTGATATTTCATTTTTTTATTAATGATTTTATTAATATTTATCTTGTGCCTCAGATGGGAACTCGTGGCTCAGATCAGCACCCATCATCTGGATTAAAAGCGGTATTAAGACTTTACACCAAAGACCACTCAAACACACAGTGACTCAAATCCAGGCACACGGGTTTCAGTGAATTAAACATCTGTCAGCTCTCCACACGAGAACACAAAGACAGCAGCCGCGTAGTGCAGACGAGTTTGGCCACACAGCACTGCACAACTCAGAGAGCTGCGAGTGGTGATAATCAGGCTCTCTTCTTCACGCACAGAAACACATTCCAGGATTTGGCTCAACTGGTCTCAACCGAGCACCACCCACAGTGCCGCTTCCACACACTTTCGCCTCCTGCCCCCCCCCATGCCTTACAAAACGCCACCCCCTCCACCCTCTTCAGTTTACGCTGCATGCTCACTGTGCCGAAACACGATGAACCATTCAACCCTATGGGAATTTCTCCTCCCAGCTTCCGAGCGTCAGCTACATCTGTGTGTGTCAGCCTGAGTTGTTGCAGCAGCAGTGACTTGGCTCAGGCTGCCTCTCGGCGACATTCTGCTTCAACTTGCCTGAGAGGCAGCACGGTTCTCGTACACTCTGCTCACACTGAGGGAAAGTTCTCTCCTGTCCGCTTCCGTTGGCTCCTGAGYTGAATCATCTTCCGTCTGTGGACGGCAACTTGAGGATATTTTCACATTTGGACAAATGATAGCAGTTTTGCAGCCTAGAGGGGAATGATGCTCTTCTTACGCAGGCATGTCTGAAGCTTTCTGGGCTCCATCCTTCCCTCCATCCTCTCCCTCTGCCCCAGAGACTGATTCCTTCTGGCATGTGAGGGWCAAGTCAGCAGGTTTTCTTCTCTTCAAATGTGTTTTGATCCAGTTCCTTAGTGCCACACTTGACCCACGAGCTTCTCAGGSAAAACAAAGGGATTAACGATGAACTTTTCTCCCACTGAGAGACAACATCTGACTTACCAGAAGCCTGTGAGATCGGATCTAAGTCAACAGTGAGTAAGTTCATCTTTGTTTTTCTCACTTTACATCAGTGACTTGTTCAGTCTCAGGAGAATACCGACTGATTGAGCGTGAGCTTTTTGATTAATGYACAACGGCATGACCTGGATTCGAGTGGGAAGGACGGGATGTGTGCACAAGTGCATATCTGAGAGRTCTCAGCATGTATATTTAATGAAGTCTTTTACACTAATGAACACAACGGAAGACGTGCTCTCAAAAAAAACTGTGTCTCTGTGGAAGACTTAACACACACTAATCAGCACGTTTCTATTGAGACAGATTCTTCCATAAAAACTCCCCTGAAAAATGTAGTGGTTTCGTACATTTAAGACTAAATATTTGCTAATTTATTTCATCAAGCATGTTGCACATGACCTTCACCCACCTTTTACACACTCCTATTCTGTCAGCAGCACACMCAGTTTATGACACATTCAGTTATAAATATTTCGAAATCCCTGAAACATTTGATGTAATGTGAAATCTAAATGTGTCTTGTTATTTTTTATTTTTATTTTATTCAGCATTCTTGTGAAATATTACGTCTTCTTCCAGGAAAGCAATTAATATATATTTTTTCTAAACTGCACAGTCTCACATCCCTTCCTCTCCTCCGTTGATTAACTGGAAATGACAATACAGAAAGGGATTAAGCAGTGGAGCGTGATTTTAACGAGTCCCCCCACAGCCCCAACGGATCTTTTGAGGTGCTACAATAAATGTTGAAAGGTTGGTTCTCTTGAAAGAGAAAAAATGTCCTAGAAGTAGATGTCACAAAGCAGAAATGATTAGGTGGCTCTGGAAAAAGAAAAAGAAAAACAGCATCAGACTGAGTTAAAAGAGGAGTTTTGATTAAAAGCTCTGAACTTGGGAGTTGTCGAGCTGAAATACGGAGCCAACAATTGATGTTTGTATTTGTTTTGTAGTTATATGTTATCAGCTTGGAGAAACATTTGAGAACAAACTGAAAAAAATTACAAATGAAAATAGGAGTGTACAGATTCTTATTTATAAGAACACAAAAMCCCCAAATACGTTTATCCGTTATCCAGACGATGGGGCATTAATGAAACGTAGTCGCCCAGAAAACAAAACTCCTGGAGGCTTTGTTGTTTTATTCCCTTCAGCTGATGCCAAATCCACTGTGGCATCTGTAAGCRGATCATAATATTCATCTAATAATCTTATTCATTATTCCTCATCAAAGATCTAATTTGAGCCAGCTAATAAGAGCCGTCGAGCGTAAAAACGATTTAAAAACAAAAGCTGTTTACTTGTTTATTGTCAATGTTTTTTTCACAGCAGTTTTTTTCCGTTTTTTTTTTTTTTTTCACCAGAGAGGACACTTGCACAAATCTATTTTTCCAGAACACTGCATGTGCTGACTTTTTAAACCATGGGTCAGTGCTCTGACTACAGGAGCCTCAAATTATCATGCCAATGAGCTCTGGGTTGCGTCATTCATGCTCACCACACCAGCACATATGTCATCTTTTGGCTCCTTTGCCTTGACTCGCCTCTTTGTTGTTATCACCACCTTCTTCTGATGCTCAATTCTGTCTTTATTTACCTGGGGTYTGCTGAGATAACACCAACACTAACACGGGATTTTAACAGTGCAGAGCTGTGTTGAAGCCTGCATGATGAGGAGCATCGTGTGGTGCAACAGGACAGGAGAGGACAGGAGCAATGTTGGCCAGGTGCCAATGAATCCGAAACCAGCTTTCAGCACTCAGCATGGATCTCAGGACAGATTTGTGCTCCACAACCTGTCCTCACTCACAGAATGGTGCGTTGTTAACTATGCGATCAGTTACCATTACTTATGCATACTGCGCTAACGCAGGAGGGAAATTTGATATATTTGGATATATAGGTAATGAAGAAGACTCTGCTTTCTTAACTGGGTCAGTAAGGTTTCTTTCCACTAATGATTTTAACTGGTTCTCAACAATGACTCCATACAGGAAAGTAAAATCTCATGACGATGTCATAACGACTGGTAAAAATGAAATAACCAAATGCACATATTTCTCATATCAGTGATAAGATCTCTAAACAAATTTTGTTAATGGATGCCAACTACCACCTCTGTTTAATTACGGAAACACAAAGTAACTAAAAATACCGTAGGTCAATGATATTCATAGAAAAGATGTTCATAATCACAAGGTTTCACAATTTCGATGTTTTTGTACATATTAACTCTCAGATTTGCTGAGTAAAGTGTGCAGACAGATACGCTTTGTTTACWTTAAGTGCGTGCCCTCATTTCAACTTTGCATTTTGGTGTATCTGGAATGTCGCTGGAGTAAATACCTCCAAACTGCACTATTTGATACAGTTCGGGCAAACCTTTTTATATTTGGTTTCATGGTTCAGGAAAACAACTCAAATTTGTTTTTCCGGCTTCAGCTGAAGTACTTTTTTTTGTTGTTGTTGAGATGAAAAGTGACACATCACTCATGAGTACCAGAGTTATTTTGAGAGACCTGTTTGGGTTTTTGTACCTGAGCAATTATTCGGCAAACTGTTCTCTGAAGCTGTCATAATTGACAGTTTCTTCCTGCAGAGTTTTGATTAAACACTCCAACGACGAGGCAGCGCTGTTTACCGAGGAAGTGACCAAGGTCGCTCAACAAGGATGTGAATGTTTGTTTGTAAGCTGTGTCTGAGAGCCAATTTCCTCTACATGGTGCTTGTTGACTTTTAAAGAGACAATGTGTGAAGCCATGTCACCTACATGGAGGATTTTCTCAGGACAGATGAGACTGAGATCATTCTTCTTCCATGAGAGCCTCATAAAGTCTGCTCCAAATAATGGAACTGCTGTTACATTGGTTATTTTCAATCATTCTTGGAGCTTGAAAGGTCATAAACAGAATGGAGATGGTGGGTTTAAACGCAGCAGTGAAAGTGTCTCAGTTTAAACCTTGGATGAAAGTGATGTCATGCTGCTCAGAGGGTTGAGGTTTTCCCTGAGGGTGTGAAAAGTCTTTGGAAAGTTCCAGCTGATTAACTGCAACACAGTGCAACACACAATTTACACCTTTTACACACATAGAGGATCATTTGCACAGGTGATAAGGTGATAGTTTGTAACTTCCAAGACAAAAAAAGGGAAAAAAGTCTCCCAGCATATTATTTTTTAGATGTCTGTAATGAAATTTCTTTGAGCATGATATGTTAACTGAAACAAAAATCTGTATTTTTTTCTTCTTTTTTCTTTTTTATGCACTTCTTGTTACTGTGCACTATTTTATTTTTATATTGTATCATGTTCGAATAAATAAATTTCATTTCATTTCATTTCAAAAATCAAATCATTATAGACATTCCATCCTGTTGGCTTGTTTTTGAGCCATGTCCCGTTTGACATGAATAGCCTCTCCTTCACTAGTAAGAGAACATTTGGCAATCCAGTTAATTCCATTCATTCTGTTCAAAATGAATATTTAAGATATCCACAGTGCCAGGGGTGGTTCTAGGGGCGGGGCCACAGAGGCATTGGCCCCAGCTGAAATCTGATTGGCCCCTCAAAGTGCCCCTGTCATGTCACTCATCTGTCCTTTGCCTGAGAGAGATAATGATGGATGCAGATCCATGTCCAAACACTAGTGGCGCTATTGAGTCAAATATTAAAATCCAGCATGAATCAAGCAGAGAAGTCTTCTTCTTTTCTTAAGAAAGTTTGAACAATCCTGTAAAAACTCTTTCAACTGACAAATGATGACTGGATTTTCTCACATGCTGTGTTTGAGAGTATTTAATTTTTTTACAATAAAAATGAATGTAAAATAGATGAAGAGAATTTACTGTACAAGCTCTTTTTTACACCACATCACTTTCCAAGTGTTTGAACATGTGTGACTGGTTAAATGTACACACCTTATCAAAACAAGGGATTTGTGTGCCAGGATGTTGAACAAATACTTGGCCCCTCTATGAATATTGTGGCCCCTTGATGGCCCCTTATGCAGAAAAATCCTAGATCCGCCACTGCATAGTGCCTTTTGCCTAACCAGTATTTCAGATATTGCAAACTGGATAGATGGATGGATGGACGGATGGATGGATGGATGGATGGATGGATGGATGGATGGATGGATGGATGGATGGATGGATGGATGAGGAACTTGACACGATGCCTTTGATCGCCTGCCTCCAAAGGAGAAAGCTGAGGATAATTGAATAGTATTTTTTGCCTGTGTCTCTCAGTATGTCTGTTAATCATATTACACCTGTTTTAAAATTGTTGCACTGGCTTCCTACATCATATAATTGATTTTAGGGYTCTTTTATTGGTTTTTAAATGTCTTAACGGTCTTGCGCCATCTTGWCTGGCTGAACTGTTACTACCCTATGAACCGCYACTGACCCYAAGGTCCTCTGGCACTGGACTATTAACAGTTACAAGAGTCAGAACACACTTACAGAGAGGCTTCTTTTCAGTACTATGGCCCTCATCTGTTGAACGGTCTGCCTGAGAATGAGGGCTGCAGAGAGTGTTGCTGTTTTTAAGAACAGGCTTAAGACATGTTTTTGCTGTATTCCTTGAACTGTATCTTTCCTGATCACTACATTTTTTTCTTTCTTGGGGGGTATATTGTTTTTTTTATGGGTTTGTTTATTGTGCATAATTTTGTMCAGCACCTTGAGCTGCTTTTAGTATGAAGGGTGCTTTATAAATAAATAAAAACTTAAACTTAAAAAAAATGTCATGGACCACTGGTCAGAGTATTTATTTACCGTTATTTAAGCAGGCAAGTCCCGTTGAGATCTCAGATGTCTTTTTCAAGAGAAGCCTGGGCCTGAAGGCAACCTATTGTACATGTTTTTAGGGTACAATTAAATGTGGTTTCACATCACTGCTAGTTTTAATTATGTGCTCCAAGTTTCCACATATGTACACGTCTGGTGCCATCTATTGATGTCAGAGGGAAAATGCAAGTGTTATGTTATTGCTCTGCTGCTTCAGGTGTTAAAGCCACTTAATGTACAGAATGGTCAACTTTCTTGAGTGGCCAACTAACCCATCTGCAGACACCAAATAGTTGTTTTCCTGACAAATGTGTCTGAGTGTACTGCGTTTTGAAACCTTCCACACATAAAACCTTTAAAGCCATTTATTTAAATACATAAAAGAAATCATGACAAAATGTTACTTTGGTGTACAGCCTAAAATTCACTAAAAGAAAAACACTTTATTTTCCCCTATAAATATTATTTTCATAGCTAATTAGCATTTACACTTCTCAAATGAAAAAAATCCTGAAAAAAAAAACACACAAACAACTACAGCTAAAAGTCTTGTTTTCTACATGAGGAGTGCAGTTTGTTCAGTTAGACTTTGCTTTTATTTATTTATTTATTTATTTATTTTGTTTAAGGGCTTTGCCCACACAAGAGATTAGACAACATTGTCTTGCACATTTTCAGTGCTGAAGGGACATTAATACTGAATAATTACTGATGCACAAGACCTTCAACCTGGGTTTATCACTTTTTTTTTGCATATTTTGAAAAATATTAAAAATCACAAAATACATTTTTATTAACATTTTCAACATGAACTCTTAATTTGAACACATCAGTCTGAAAAGCTGCAAAGTGAATGAACAGATTATTATTACTAATAATAATATTTGGGCCCTATTTCTATTTTCTTTTGATGTTTGACATTTTCATAATCAAAATCCTGAACTGATGCCTTCTTTTAGCAGAAGAAAGAGTAACTTTTCTTTATTTCTTTCTTTCTTTTTTTCAGATAACCTTGCTGGAAAAGATCTAATTTAAACACGCTTGTGATGAATGGATGCCAGTAGAAAACATAAAAGACCATGGAAGGAGAAAATGTACTCAACTCCACAATGAACACCACCGCGATGGATGTTCATCTGGTCACTCACAGTCTCTGGGAGGTAATCACCATCGCCACTGTGTCAGCTATAGTCAGCCTCATTACCATCGTGGGAAACGTTCTTGTGATGCTCTCCTTTAAAGTCAACAGCCAACTGAAGACGGTGAACAATTATTACCTGCTGAGTCTGGCAGCTGCTGACCTCATCATAGGTGTTTTCTCTATGAATCTGTACACCTCTTACATACTGATGGGCTACTGGGCCTTAGGGAACCTTGCCTGCGACCTGTGGTTGGCCCTGGACTATGTAGCCAGCAACGCCTCAGTCATGAACCTGCTGGTGATCAGTTTTGATAGATATTTCTCCATCACGAGGCCTCTGACTTACAGGGCCAAACGGACTCCCAAACGGGCTGGAATCATGATAGGTTTGGCTTGGCTGGTGTCCCTGATCCTGTGGGCGCCGCCAATTCTTTGCTGGCAATACTTTGTTGGAAAAAGGACAGTTCCTGAGAGGCAATGCCAGATCCAGTTTTTCTCAGAGCCTGTGATCACATTTGGAACAGCGATAGCTGCCTTTTACATCCCTGTGTCCGTTATGACAATCCTCTACTGTCGAATCTACAAGGAGACTGAGAARAGGACCAAGGATCTGGCAGAACTTCAAGGGGTCAACTATTCGACGGACTCTGGTGAGATTCAACCACAGAAAACTATCATCAGATCCTGCTTCAGTTGTAAGCTAAGGTCAGCGTCACATGATCAGAACCAAGCCTCCTGGTCATCGTCCAGCAGGAGCAATGCCAAATCAGCCACCTCCACCAGTGATGAGTGGTCCAAAGCCGGTCAGCTGACCACCTTCAACAGCTATGCCTCCTCTGAGGACGAGGAAAGGCCGGTGTCTCCAGGAGGCCTCAAGACCTCCTTCAGGAACCGGGCTTGTGACGCCAGCAAAAACAARGTGGGCAACGAGAGCGAGCATCTCAGCAGCTATGACGAAGACACCTTCTTCCAGTCGCCACCGAAAAACAGCTCTCAGAGGAGCAGCAAGTGCGTGTCCTACAAATTCAAACCTGTGGCCAAAGATGCTCACGTGGAACACCAAAGCAAGAACGGCGACACCAAAATGATGTCATCAGCGTTCTCCTCAGCCGAATCCATGAGTGCTCCATCCACCTCCTCGACGTCCAAAACCATGGACACTTCCCTGAAGAACCAGATCACCAAGAGAAAGAGAATGGTGCTGATCAAGGAAAAGAAAGCAGCGCAGACTCTCAGCGCCATCTTGCTGGCTTTCATCCTAACGTGGACCCCTTACAACATTATGGTGCTGATTTCAACCTTCTGCTCGGACTGCATCCCCCTTTCCCTTTGGCACCTGGGCTACTGGCTGTGCTATGTCAACAGCACGGTCAACCCCATGTGCTATGCTCTTTGCAACAAGAATTTCCAAAAGACTTTCCGCATGCTGCTGCTCTGCCAGTGGAAGAAGAAAAGAATTGAGGAGAAGCTGTACTGGTACGGACAGAACCCTGCAGTTAGCTCCAAGCTGACATGAACTAGTGTTTATAAATGACTGAACCGAACTGAGATCCTACGTCTTACAGTGTTGCTCCTAAATCAGTAGTTCTGTTGTAGTTTAAAATAAATTGCTGCTAAATCTCGCAAAAGTAGAAATATACACTTTCTTTATACAATATAATATCTGACATTGTACATAGGTTTGGAAATAGTTCAAAGTACCAGTATTTCAGATCTAATTTAGGCATTGCGTGCGTATTCCCACTAATTATTATTGTACCACATTTGTATTCAAACCTCTACTCTTACGTCCCTAATGTGATAGCAAATTCAGATCAGTTTCTTTTTTGAGTTTTCAAAATGTTCTATTTTGAAGGGCTAAAATTGTCCATGTCATCCTWTAGCTTTGTAGTTGAAGAGTTATACTTGATGATCACTGAAGCCTTTATCAATGACTGTCTAACAGTTAGATTGCTTACAGTCATTGTGATGATGCATCAGCTTTCAACAGTACAAGGAAGAACCTTTAAATCACTCTAACTTGTCTATGTTTACACCAGGAGGATAATTGGAGGATTTAACTGTATTTTTGCAAAAACCTCTCCATTACTTTTCACTCTCAGGATACATTTTTTCTTGTGTATCAAAAAAAAAGTATTTGTTTTCTCTGAAATACTGTTAAATATGTCATCATATCTTCTGGCAAATTTGTAACATAATGTGAGATTGTTTTTTCTTCCTGTAAGTATAAGCTAACATGTTGTGAACACTTTTATTGGGTAACTGTGAAAAACGAGAAGACGTCCAATCTGAGGAYGGTGGAGATGTTTGGGTATACTGACAGTTTTATATTGCTTTTCAAGCTTGTGAAAACTTTTTTTTTTCATTATTTTGTGGTCATGTACAATAATTTCAGAATAAAATGTGATGAATTGGAAGATTCAGAAGGTCACCAGGTATGTTGGATGGGAATATTGGACTCCTCGAGAATGATGTGTTTATAGCTCATCCTTGCCGTCTCCACTGTAAATCACTTTAACTGTGTCTGAAGGTCTCACCATCATCCATGCGTACTTGCAGAGGTGTTCCTTGTTGCAGTCCTTTTGCCAGTAAATCACATTCCTGCGATTTAAATTGGCACCAGCACARGCGTCGTACCACCAACCCCCTCCCGGCACGCCCTGGAACTCCAGCTTGGCACAGTTTTGGAAGTAATTGTCATTGTCTCGGTCCTTAGTGGTGAATTTCTGGTTGTCGTGAAGGTAATTCTCGGTGTCTAATGTCAGAGCGTCCACAGCCGTGCCCTGGAACAACCCCAGCCTCAGCCTGTACGCTGTTGATTCATCCTCCACCAGGAAAGGATCATACTCCCCCAGCTTAGTGACGGCATCCTGGTCTACAAGTTTTACTCCCAGCTTGTAGAGGGCAGGACCGCGGGTGAGCTGATGGAGGTGCTTGTTCCCCAGCCAGTGGTCCCCATTGACGTCTCCAAAACCATTTTTGTACTCATCCCAGGTGCGATCAAAGTCAACGCTGCTGTTGACCGTGATGTGCTGCACCACGGTCCAGCCTCCCTCCTGCATGGCACAGTAGGCCACAATGGSGGAGTTGTGTGGTCGGATCAGGTAAACCCCATCCCTGGCCTGGCCTGAAGATGTCATTAGCATCTCATAGCAGTCTCTAGGCAGAACTGTTGAGCAAATAAACAAGTCAGTTTCTGGTAAACGAAAGAACATGTTATTGTTTCTGTGCTTTCAGACTCATAAATTAGGGTGTACTTTTGATTTTAGAAAACCGCAAAACCATGATATTATTGCTGAGAACTGAAAAGACCACTTATCATCAATGAGTCACTCAGTAATTTCATCTGCAGATTGGAATTTGACCAACCAAAGATTTTCTCAAAYGTTCTAAACAACTTTGAGCACTGCATTTTTTGGATCCAACATTCTTAATTCAAGCTAGGGTTGGGCAATATTGGCAAAAAAAAAAAAAAAGAATCACGATTAATTGTGGTATTTAGCCGATAACGATTAATTTGACGATTAATCCCCTGGAGTCTCTGGACACCCTTTTGTCCTATTCACATGACCAATTTAGTGGGAAAGATTTGCTCTTCGTAAAAGATTGCTCCAAGTTGTGTCAAAATTACAGACTTCAGGCTATACATCAAATTTTTTGTGTTGATAGATAAATAAATTACAGAACAATTTTTTTTAATGTTCGTCATATTTGATGAAAAACTTTTGGTAGTTTTCTTGGACTGAGGAAATCAGTTTTTAATCATCATTTAATCATTTTAATTGTCAAGTTACAAAATATGATCGATTATTGTTTTTCTGACAATTAATTGCGCGATACGATTATGCCCAACGCTAATTCAAGCAAACAATCGGAAAGCTCAAAATGAAAGCGAAAGTCTACACAAATGCATACCTTTCATCTCCCTGTTYAAGACCTTGTTGTGATCATTTGGGAGAATAAGATGCAGGTTTTCAGCTTGAAGATGCTCCATTTTAACTCCAGTCACACTCAGCAGCAGCATCGTCACTGCAAGCAACCAGGATCTCATCTTCATCCTTCACTGTCTTGTGTCATACATACTTATATTAGTTATTGACATAGAATGSTACGATCAGTACACGATATAGTGAACTAAATACAAAACACACCATAAAACTTTACAAATGCCAAAAATCATAATGCTTACTTTGAGTTGGGGAAACACAGTGTAGGAATATTACACTCGAACCGCCTCTGGCACTGTGTTCGTCTGCGCAGTCTGAATAAAAAGCACTTGAATGCAAACATGATTGCAGAGTTCAGATTCAGAGTTCAGTGAATTGCAGCCTCTCCAACCCAGCTATAGCTGGACTTTAAACCCATGATCCACATTACACTACAGACACCAATCCTCCACTTATCTGTATCAAGTGAGATAAAACCAAATGTGAACCCATATCCCTGCCTTATTTTAATCACTTCAACAGTGCATGAGGCCAAAGTTCAGTTAAAGTGGGGGAAAGCCTTACAAGTTTCAACTCATTGCTTTAGATCATTGCTTTAGGGATTGTTTTTGTTTGAAGTAGTAACCTCACTGYTATATTCAAGCAAATCACATGGAATTTAGCACCAGTGTGCAGTTAAATTAACTTTTTTTGGTACATTAATCACTTGTAAAAACCTTGATCGAAACCARTTAAAATGGCAAAGTTCTTTCTAAAATGTTATCCATCAGGTGGAAAATTTCTAAAGTTGTCACTGATTCACATGATTAGTTCTTTCTTTATCACGCCAGAGAAACAACACTTCCACAGGTCAAGGCTTAATGGTCCAACAGCATTGAAAAGATAAGTAACAAGCCTSTGGAAAACAGATATAAAGTAACTAAAACTGTCAAAACCACCAAGAATATAAGTTTAAATACAATTTTTATGTATCATCACTGAAGCATAAAACAAATTAATGATCATTGCGACAGTCTATTTGTTTACTGAAGAGAGAATAACATTATTTTATACTTGAATTGCTATTGCACCATCCCTGTTTCAAGTTGCACAGTAAACTCACTGTTCAGGCACATTAGTTCACAAGCTCAATCTTTCTTATTTATTTAAAAGCACAATGGGCATTAAGGTCGTTTCTGCTGCTTTTGACGAAGAAAGATAGAGTCTGAATCCTCACTGGCATCATTTAAGTTGAAAGAGGAAGGAATCAATGACCTGAGAGGGTGAAATAAAAATATGAGTTATCATTTTTATAAAGCAAATTAAAAAAAAGATGCGGATATGTTGCTGCTTTTTCATTTTGCCCTCACATTGGCCATCTCTCGTGCCACATTTGGAACATTTTTCAACAGAGGCTCCTGGTCCCACAACATCCACAACTGATGATTAAAAGCCTGGAAATTTCTGTGCAAAAAGAAGAAAAATAAACAGCAACTGAAAACGTTACCTTGAAACAAACATTATTATTCAAGGTTATTGTAAATAACCAAATTTTATTCTTTTGTTTTGCCCCTTGGTGTTAGCAGAAAAAAACATTCAATAATAAAAGACTTACTTATCTTGCTCAGGTACAGTTGATCCACTGAAGCCGCTCATTTGAAGTTCCTCCCACCAGTTTTTTAAAACCGAATAGATCCACTTAAAACCGATAAGTTGATACCTACAAGAAAACAATATCCTCAAAAATTATTTCAGTTCCTGTACGTGTGCAGACAGTTTATTTTATGTGGTTTAGGTGGGAACAGAGAGCAGCGGCGACACTCACTCTTCGTATGGCTTGCTGAGCAGTTGCCTAACAAGAGGAAAGAGATCAACACAGCAGCCGATGTTAATCTTTGTTGAATCCTCATCGATGCTGTAGATTAAAAAAAGCAAACAAACAAGCGGTAGATTAAGTAATTTGTTGCCAGTGCCCGTGTTTTATATTTTACAAATGGCTTACCATTTGCATATTAGAGGGAGAAAATCAACAAGCACACCGGTGTCTCGGATTCTGAGGAAAGAGAAGGATGTAACATTACTTTGAAATTCTTAAAAACACGCTGCATAATGCATGTTTATTAGTCACGCGGTACATACTTCAGAAAATATGTGAGCAGCTCTCCAAAGTTTCTCTTCCATAATGTTAACGCCACCTTCAGTCTCAGATTTCTTCCAAACAGCACATCAGTCATTGTGTTGTGATCCCTACTGAGCTGGAAATAAAGCCACTATGTTCAGATGTTTTTGTATAAAAATGCCTTTTTTTTTCTTTTGATAAAAACAAACATAGGCAGAGTCTGTGCTAGTTACCTCATTGAGTGTGTAGTAGTCAGTCTGCTCAGAACCAGCTCTACTGGTGTTACTGGTATGACTGACGTTTAGTGGGAACTCCAGCGGGTCCATTAATAACATTTCCTGCRGTGTGTCTTGCGAACGTTTCATCTCATTTTCCTTGTTTGTCGCGTCCAAATTCCTCACGAATCTGAGATGTTTCCGTCGAACCACAGGCAGATGATGGCTTTTCCTCTTGCATGACACCAGTCGCTTTAGCCTCCCTGGGTTGTTGTTCCCAGAGCGAACAACTGGATTTCTGGATGTAATAAAACGTTGGAATATGTTGAGCAAAACTGCAACGCAGCTGAAGCAAAGATACAAACATTTTGAATGGAATACCTCTTTTTGTTGAACTCGTCATGTTTGTCGAATTCCACCTACATTAAAACACAACAGGATGTAAAGATCAAATGGCTAAAAAAAAAGAAAAGATACATTTATGTTCCTTAATGTCACTCGTTTTGCACTCCTTAATGACTTGTTTTGCGTCTCTCCTAAGAGCATAGCTTACTTTGAACTGTTCTGCCTCATGATTAATGCTTTCCCCGTTTTCACTGCCGGAGTCCATCAGATCTAAGTAAATGAAGAGGAAAAGCCCTTACATAGTCAGCAAAAAAAACAAAAAAACAAAAAACAAGTAATGCATGCTTAATCGAAACAGAAACTTGTGTCCCAAAAATGAGGAATTACTGGCACCATGTGAGTTAATTAAGTATATGCAAACATTATTATTATTATTATTATTATTATTATTATTATTATTATTATTATTATTATTATTATTATTATTATTATTATTATTATTATTATTATTATTATTGCTTGTAACCTGCGTTGAGGCGATATCCTCAACGCAATGTGAGCATAAAAACACAATGTCCCATAATTCTTTTCGCCAATGTTGTTATTTCCTGACGTAGGGAGCAACGCTGGTAGGAAGACGTTGGTCGCGCTCGTGTTTCAAAAAATCWAAGATTTATTAAACTTACTCCAAACAGAGGGCTCTTTGTGAGTTTAAAACCCGTCCTTCACTATGTTGTGTCAAATAGTAAGTATCGGCTACAAACAAAACAAGTTTTTAAGCGTACGTGACGTGTTATGTAGCTAAAATTTTTGCAAACCAGTGGTTTTAATAGCAGCAGCTTCAGCTTGCGGCTAAGATAAATCTGGTTATTAGAGCTGTGGTAGTTACAACCTGTCGGTGCACAGATAGAAACTTACTGSATTTCAGTTCTTAGATGCAAAAAGACGTGTCTATGTAGCATAGCTGTCGTACTCACCGAGTTTTCCAAACGTTAATAAGTGATACCATTCCCCTTCTTTCTTTCAGAAGAGCTAGCAAACATCAGAAACCGCCCAATATGAGTATAAAGTCGAATTATATTACATTTAGAAGCACCGCGCGCCCTCTAGTGGCTGTTGTTTTACTGAAAGTGATTTAAATCTGTCAGCTGATGTTACAGTCAGCTGAAGACAAGTGCAGGTACAAGAGTCATCACCATGGTTGTTCTTTCGCTTTTATATTTATCTGACGTAAGAGCAGTGATGTGTAGGTGTATCCTTAGTGCACTTGTTTTTTTTTCTTTTCTTGATTGCACACTGAAAATAATAATAATAAAAACAGGATCAGCTGGTTTTGTCAACTAATCCTCTGCACTTTTTGCTGACTGTGCTATTTTTTTTWATTCTGCAGCTTCATTATTTCAGCTGACTGTAGGTTAACCCATGTGGACACCCTCACTAGGGACCAAAACACAATCTGTGAGTCTGTGTTTTACTGTCGCTCAGCACTTTACAAGCTTGAGTTCCCTTCAGTTTCTTGTGAGTTTTGCTGCGSAGGGATCATGTGATCAAAGCGACAGTGCTGTTTATGTGTGTCACTTCTTTTACCAGGCATTTACTGGAACAGCTCAGTGTCAGAATGGTGTCTGCTCATACTGCCTTGGCTTTGTTCAGCCTCGCTCCCCTGTTTGTGTTTGGCATTCCTCCTATTTGGAYCCAGCCGGAGCAAGTGCACCTCTCCTATGCTGGTAAGTGTTTAACTTATGTATTTAAGCTTTAAAATGCAGCTTCCTTAGTGTCTAAAATGTTTTTTTAAACCTCTCAGTAATAAAAAGCAGGTCAGTGAACGTCATATTTCATAATTTTATTTTACAGGAGTACCCAATTCCATGGTGGTGACCTGGACCACTTTTAATAAGACACAGAGCAGGGTGGAGTATGGTCTTGTAGGGGGTCGTCCCTTTCAGATGAACGCTGAAGGTGATGTCACCCTGTTTGTGGATTCAGGAGCGGAGAAGAGGCAGATGTTCATCCACAGAGTCACTCTTACCGGCCTCAAACCTGCTGCTACATACGGTGGGTGGAGCTTTGGTATCCCTGCCATTAGTTTTCGATCTGTCAGGCCGACTCACTGTTAAGCATGTGGTTTTATTTGTTTGTTTGTTTGTTTTTAGTCTACCACTGCGGTGGTGATGAAGGCTGGAGCGATGTCTTCCTCTTCACTGCTCTGAACGACAGCTCAAGTTTCAGTCCCAAGTTTGCACTGTATGGAGATCTGGGCAATGAGAACCCACAGTCTCTGGCTCGACTGCAAAAAGAGAGTCAGCTCAGCATGTATGACGTCATACTCCACATAGGTAACCTCTACATGGATGTAAATGTTATTACGYTGCACTGTAATTAGCTAACAAAGCTTTAAAAAAAACGTTAATTTGTTTCAACACATTTTTAAAAATGAGTGGTCGGTAAAAYCTGAACAGAATGCTGGAGTTGTTGTAAAATGTTTCACTTGGCCCGTTCATTTTGAAGATTTTTTTTTTTACTGTCTATTAACCTTTGATGACAAACCCATTTAAGCAACTTTTTCACTGTTTGGTCATGTTTTAAACGTGGAAGCAAGGTGAAAAAGTGCAAAGCAATTAGAGCAAGAACCATGTGAGTGTCACCTGCTATTCTTTACCTGGGTTATAAAAGCACAGCAACAGTGCAAAGTTCAAAAAGCTAGCAGGTAGGCAGAATAAACCAGATGACTGAAAAACACATTTTAAATCCAAATTGGATCTATAAGATTTTAGGTCTCATTTTTACACCACCACAACAGCCCACACGTCGTAAACGCTAACCAGATATTTTGCATATATGTGATATTTTTTAAGAATACATATCATGCTTTTAAATTCTTTTTTGTTCACATTTAAATAATTTAGTCTATATATCCCTATTTTACCCCTTTTCAAAGGTCAACTCGTTTTGAGGCTGTCTCCTGAAATCCAAATGAGGTGCTTCACACCCCGCCCCCCTCCAGCTTCCAGAACGGTCCATTTTAGTTTGATAGAGGGGTTTACGACTATATAGCAGCCCGGACTGTTTTATTTACAAATTACATAAAAGGTGTCAACAGAAGACTTGTCCATCCAGCCTTACATGTTTGAGCCGGGGTTTGACCCAGAGCCAGAGGAGAACGAAGACCAGACCTTATTAAGACGTTTCATCACAATACTGTGACGTAATAATTTAGAAAGCAGGTTAAAAAACATGACCCAAACAGAATATAAAAATATCTACTCAGCACCAGGAGAGACTAAACTCCAATTTTCTGCACTCCTAGAGACTCCAAGTACACAACAAAGCATAGTTAACGGCTGAAAAAGTGGATTTTGCAGATGTCCCCTTTAAAGGGTTTAGCAGGAGGGACGTTATTAAGTGAAATGTCAGTGGAMGCCGCAGCCCGTGGCAGGTAAAGCGATTAGACGAGAGGATTACAACAAATAAACATACAACAAACATGGTGACAAGTTACAGTCTGTCAAAACTGACTTGAGAGTGTGAAAATCACCAATCAGCAAMATCACAGAGCTGGCTCAAATTGAATGTTAAAGGAAAAAATTAGTGTGTATGACAACTGCAAGTGCTTGATAAAAAAGTCGATCAGACCAGTTGGTGATGACGTCWGATGGGGAAAAATGTGATGGGAAAAGTCAAACAAAACTTTATAAAGGGCTTTGCTTGGAGACTGTATAATCCAGATTATGCACAGAGGCATATTTYAGAAGGTAAAAGATTTGATGATTATTTTGCACTCTAAACATCAAATTAGCCGCCAGCTGGTTAGCTTAGCTTCCGAGTTTTCACTTTGTTAAAGAGTAAAATCCTAAAACCTTCAGGAAGATCTGTTCTAATCTGTGGACCTTTCCTTCTGCTTTACAGGAGACTTCGCCTACGATATGGATGAGGTACTTTACCCTTCWTYCRCTCCWTTATTGTTAATAATGATTAAATTTKTTCCTACTTTCAATTAAGAGCAAAGACGGTGAGTTTCTTTCATCAACACTCCWGGCTATTTTAATTCCACAGTGACAGATGAGATAAGCCACTTCACTTTCCTCTGCTGCCCTCTTCCCAGAGTTAACCACTGTTTATTATTAGGACATACACAGTCACTCCACTGTGGTTTAGACATTAACATTGCTGCGTGATGCCTTAAGCCCTTGGTGAAAGATGAGAAGTAGGGTCATGTCGCCCAAGTATTTCATGAATAAAGTGGTGCYGTTCAAAACCACAGGTTCTAAATCCCAATAGCACATTTGCTCATATAAATTCCTCTCAACAGTTACCTTTTTAATATTTAGCACACATAACCTTATATCAGATGCTAATATCACTTTCCCTGAAACAATTTCCTGCATTACTAATGTTTTTATTTAATTTGAAGAGAGGGCTAAATAGAATCAGCAGACCCTTTCAAAAATCAATAACCATAATTCATTCAAGCTACATTTTTAGATGGAATGTCTTAAATGCACTCTGCGGTTTCACTGGTGTTTTAAGGAGGAAAACAGAAAAGAGGGAGGTTTTGTTTTGTTGTTGCAGGTAAAAGCAAATTAAGGTGGAAATAAACCACGCAGGGCTTCTAAAGGTCATTGCACTGTGTGGTTTGTTTTTTAATGCTAGTCATACTTAAAGAATTTATCTGGAATATAGATCTATTTTAAAATAGATTTGGATGAAGATGACTGAAAGGAAGAATTAAATGTTTAGTTTGTGAATTTATTCAACAGAGACGGTGCATTTTAATAAGTATTACTGTAAATGTACAAGAGTTTGCCGCAAAAGCTAAATTTCATAGTCTCTGAGTGAAGAACTAGAAAACTATATTCTGTCAAAATATAGAGTGAATGTTGAGCGCTGAATTACTGAAGAAATTTTCTGAAAAAGCAAAAACTGATATTAAAGCTAAGTGCAGTAGAACATTAGCTAAAAGCTATATTTATTTAAATGCAGTTTAAACAAATGCTAGCTAAATGCTAAAACTAGCAGAACGTTAGCTAAAAATGAAAAGCTGTTTAAGAAGAAAGTTCAGCTCTCTGTTCCTAATAATACCTAAAATTATTGAAAACTGAGCATTAAAACACTTATTTACATAAAAGGCTGCAGATATTTAAAAAAACACAGTAGGGTAAAAATGGTAAAGATATTTCCTGCACACAGCCATCACCATTTACAATAACTCTTTAGTTAAGTGAGTTACAACAACATCTAATTTCCCTCTGAGATCAATAAAGCAGAGTTGTAAAGTAACTAAGTACAAATACTTTGTTACTGTACTTAAGTAGAATTTTTGTGTATCTGTACTTTAC